GTACTATTCAATCTACTTATGGCAGATTCTGGGGCTAGAAGAGGATTAGCCAATGCACCAGAATAAGCGGCAGAGTGAATTGCTTCCAAAAGCAAGCCTTGGGGATTTTTGGAAGCATCGGTGATCTCCGATTTCACCTTCAGGAGCTGCAGAAGGAAAATATCACTTTCGAGCAGGCAACAATCTAAATTGACATTAGAAATGTAAGCAAGTGCAAACAAAATAATGAAAATACCTGCTCATTAACCTCCCAATCCAGGAAAACAGGGTTCCTCACACAGTCAATAAGCAGCTCCACCATTTCAGGAACATAAGTTTTCAGAGCATCAAAAGTGTATCCCATCTGTTCCCTAGAAGCTGAGGCTTGGACATTGCCACCAATTGCCTCCACTTCCCGCACAATACGCAGGTGGCTCCGGTTTCTTGTGCTTCTAAAGGCCATGCGCTCAAGCAAGTGTGTGGCTCCAAATGAGATTGGTGACTCATAGATTGAGCCACAATCAACATATAAACCTATTGAGGCAGCAGGGCTCTGATTGGCAAAAGAAGGAAACAAACTTTCTTGATAAAGTATAAAATAAATTCCCCTCAAGAACAAAGGGCCTTGAATTAGAAAACAAGTTGTCTATGAAAAAGTATTTGCATGCATACCACTGATGTTTCCGAGGCAATTTTGACACCATTTGGGAGAGTCGTAATCTTGGTTTTAGCCGGTTCAACATAATCAGGCAATGAAGGTGGAAGAGAGACACCCGGAAGTGGAAAGTCCAAAGGAGGTGAAGATTTGGATCGCTCCCCAGTCAACCAGCTAAAGAGACCACCTGAAGAGTATGAACTTGTGGCAACAGCACTAGAACTGGCGAATCTTGTGGCCGCAGGTATCCTACCACGCACATGGTCCTGTTCTCACAATTAATTGTAACATCAAACATTTCCACCACATAAGATAACCATCATATGTCAATATATACAAGTGTATAGCATTGGATAAACTGTGAATGAAAGAGAAAATCCATATAATTTAATTACTCATGCAACTAATAAACCCTATATGACACTATCCAGTTACAGTGGTACTTATCCATCACATTATCTCTTCTAAAATTATTAAGTAACTTACAATAAAAATTCAACCTTGCAATTCTTCAACCTTCAATTAATTTTCTCACCAGGAAGCAAGAAGCATATAGCAACACTACATTCTTATTACAAATTTATCTAAATTTCTAGAGAAAGTGAGCAAGGGAATAAACCTAATAGGTACCAGTTTCATCACATGAATATATATATATATGTATATGAACAGTAATCAAATCACCGGATCCTCCAATTTCAGTTCCATACTTCCATTATTTGATTTCTTCATACATAATGAAACATAATATACAATTCCTACGGTTTGACCGTGATGCAAGTAATGTGTTTACGTTTCGTGGAAAAGAAAATACAGCATCAATATGCTTTCTTTCATAAAACTAGTAATTTTTTCATCTTTAACATTTTGTTAAATACAAAACTATCAAACAACATAACTATTCTGATAAGAAGCATAAAATTCCAGCGACGTACAGACAGATCTACAAGCCAAAAATCCAAGCAAACACAGATTCAACTATCAACTAACATACAGGCAGCGAATCCAAGTAGCTTTTACTCCAATACGTTGAGTAATAAAAATGAAACCAACGGGTTTAATTAGGGCTTCAGGAGGATGGATAAGCGAGTACTGACCTTGAGAGAGCGAAGACGAGAGGCAGCGGTTCTGTACATGGTGATCGTAGGTCACTGTCAAACCCTAGTTCGTACGGACGAGTGATGAAACTGGCTGGCTCAAAAGAAAGAGGGGGAGTCTCTTAGAGTTGAGAAATGTGATTGCCCAATCAAAAAATGGACACGAGTGATCAATCTGGACCGTCTAATGATATTGTTTGCCTGATTTAATCTTAGCCGTTTAACTGAATATAGTGTTAATTCTCTTAGAATTATCAGTCGTTGGATTGTCTGATTTTGACCTCACCTTATTTACATTTTTAATTGATGCGCTCCATCTTTGTTTGCCACGTATTTTAATTTTCTCATAAATTCTTAATAGAATTTTATTCCAAGGGGCTGTTTGGATGGGGGTATATAAGATAACGGGTAATGTTTGTTTATTTTATAAGATTCATGTGTTTGGTTTGAAAGTAATAAAATATTATGGTAATTTTTTATTGTAAATAGTATTTACTGTTGGTAATATAGGAAGTAATCTTATTACCTTATTAGGGGGTGTTATTAAAACATTACTGAAGTTATATGATTTTTCTACCTATTTTGTCCTTAATTAAAAACCATTTCGAACATAATTGCCATCAAATGTCTATCAAATAACAATTACCCAACCCCCTACATTCGAGAAATTAGCTAAAACACTCTAGTTATAAAAAAGTTTAAAAGCTAACAAAATACCCCCAACCACCCAAGACCACCGCCGGCCACAGGCATCAATCGCTGTAATGGTGCACAACTAGCGAGATNTTATAAACAAACAAGTCAGCTTAATTTCAGAGCTTATAAGCTAATTTGACCAGCTTATAAACTTAGACAAATACCCTCTATGTTTGGTTTGCAAGTAATAAAATATTATGATAATCTTTTGTTGTAAGTAGTGTTTATTGTTGGTAATGTGGGAGGTAATTTTATTACCTTATTAGGGAGTGTTACTAAAACATTAATGGTGTAATATGATTTTTCTACCCATTTTTTCCTTAATTAAAAATTATTCCGGACACAATTGCCCTCAAATGTCTACCAAATAACAATTATCCAACCCCCTACGTTTGAGAAATTAGCTAAAACACCCCAACTACAAAAAGTTTAAAGTTAACAAAATACCCATAGCCACCTATGACCACCGCTGGCTACCGGCATCCATCGCTGTAATGGTGCACGCCTAGTGAGATCTTGCCGGTTGTGCGTCGATGAGGCATTTTCCGACCATGGATCTAGCGTTTTTATAACTATTTCACAACCAAAGATGTGGCTGTTTCACGGCCAAATTTGTGGCCGTGATGGCCATAGATCTAGTTGTTTTTCAATCATGGATTTGTGATCCATAGCCATTTCCAGTTTTGTTAGCGCACGATTGCCTATATACAGCCAGTCGTGCGCCATTTCGTCGACTATCGACAACGGGCAATGGTGGTGGTTGGTTGTCGACAGTGGCTTAGGGTGGGTGGGGATGATTTTGCTACAAATTAAAGTTTTTATATGGCTGGGGTGTTTTAGCAAAAATTCAAATATAGAGGGTTAAAAAATGATTCAAAAAAAATACTATTATATTAATTTTAAAAAAGGAGGGCTATTTAGTAATATATATAACGTGCCCACCCATTTATCTTCCCAATCAAACATATTAGTCACCAATTTATTCAAACTAATCAAACACATTTTCTAAACATTCTCAGTAATTTTCAAGGTGATTTTTTTATCCATTAATATAATATACCCTTATAATAAAATATTATATGATCCAAACGTCAAACGACGTGTTCCCACCCAAAGATCAAGCGAAATCTCAAGTTTCCACCCCTGGTTTCATTTATTTCAGATTCTCACCCTTAAATTAACACTGTTAATAATTTTTAGATTTTGGTACAGTACAAAAAGTGTTATTACTAAATTGTCTTTAACAAATAAATTAATAAATTACATTTTAACCCACTATAACTTGATTTTTTCGGCAGCCACGAGGGAGGGAAAATCGCTCAGATCTAGCCAAAATGGAGGTAGACGAGGCTAGGGGATGGATGGGTTTTGTCAGGGATGAGTAGGGGAAGCTAGTGGTGGTGGCAGTGATGTCCAAAGACGCCTGAATCTAGCTAGATCTGAACTTTTTCTAGCGGCCATGAAAGAGGGGTAAATCGTAGAGAAAATGCTCAGATCCAGCCAAAATGGAGGCGGACGAGGTTGGGGGATGGATGGGTTTTGTTAGCGATGAGCGGGGGAAGCTAGTTGTGGTGGCGGTGATGTCCAACAACGCCGGAATCCGACTAGATCTGGATTTTTCTGACAGCCATGAGGGAGGTCAGGGGTGCTTGTGAGAAATTTGGGATATAGAGGGTTATTTTGAAACTTTTATTATTATTTCAGATTTAATGAAGTTTAAATTATCATTTCACTCTTTGACCGTCACATTAAATGATTTTTTGTTAATTTAAGGGTGAGAATCTGAAATAAATAAAACCAGGGGTGGAAACATGAGATTTCGCTAGTCTTTGGGTGGGAACATGTAGTTTACTCTTATTCTAATTACAATAAAGAATGACTCACAATCTAATTCTATAAACTTTCTCTCACAATCCAATGTGACAGCTCGTAATCGATCAGTTTGCAAGAAGACAGACAAAACCCATTACAAACTATCACATTGGAATTATAAGGGAAAGTTTATAAGATTAGGTTGTAAGCGTAGTATTGTCCTTTTAATTATATACATAGTAAACAGGAAACACTGAATAAAAGAATGCTAGAATGGTCGAAGATATTGTAATAGCGGGCAGTGGCCTAACAAAGCACACGAGGTGCAGTATATTTGTTTATTGAAGCGTCAAGTTCAATGAAACGGAAAGAAGAATAGAAGTACGAACGATATCTTGAATGATACCAAGTGGAGAAACTCTATAAGCCTCTACAATCACAAATTATACCAGAATAAGTATCAGAAATGGAATATTGAAATCCCAAAAAATGATAAACATTCCCTTTTGAAATAACATGTTATAAATTGATCAATTAAGTATGCAAATTGATGTAAAGGGAGTCCATGATGTGTTGACATGGAGAGAATAATTCTCATCCTCTTGCAACAGTATCTTAGCGACCACATCTTTGTTCTACATCTCTTTCTTTCGACCTACTTGTGCTACTGGATGCTTATTCCCTTCAAATATTCACCCAATAATTTTTCTACATACCCACAAGCATTCTTTTGCATTAATGTCATATTTATTATATATATGCTCATGGAAACTCAGTCCCTCATAATTTGTTTTAACAACAAAGATGATGGCACCGGTGTTGGATGGCTCAAGATTGGCAGGATGTTACTGCCAGAGCTTTGTGAGGGAGTCCAGAATTCCATGGCCAAAAGCCTGTGCTTTCTCAAGGCTGTCAAAAGGTATGTAATGTTCAAGTGATCATCACATTATATTACAATTTCCCATAAAATAAAATGATTCATAGTGTTGTTCAGTTTTCTCGCAGAATTCCTTAATATCCTCAACTGCTAAGTTTACTTCTTCGCCCGTGCCATTTCTTGGGGTTGGCTGTGTAATCAAGAAAAAGGGAGTTAATGTTCTGTCAGCAGACATATCAGCACTGAATTTGGCTTCGGAATTTCTTTACGCATGTGATGATGAATACGGTGGAGTTATTATTGATCCAGAAAGCTTACCCTCAAGTGCAAACGCCTTTGTGTCTGCTCTTCGTGCTTCTCTATCCAACTGGAAAATGAAGGTTTGTGCACGAGTGTACAATTAACAGATTCTATAAATAACACAAACACATTCTTTTAACCATCAGATCATCCCAAATGTGCATTCACAATTCAAAAGACGTGTAATCGTGTGTAAATTTCTGGGAAATGCAGGGTAAGAAGGGAGTATGGCTCAAGATACTATCAGAGCAAGCTGATCTTGTTCCAATAGCAGTTCAGGTAATAATGCAATTAATGCTACGTTGTCTCACAGAAGTTCCCTCTGCAATTGATCTAAGGAATTTTGTTCGTTGTGTCCTATTCACTATCTCGAAATTTTAATAAGTCAAAACTAATTTTCAGGAAGGTTTCACATATCACCATGCTGAACCAGGATACGTTACGTTAACATACTGGATTCCTGATGAGCCATGCATGCTTCCTGCCAGCCCTTCGCATCAAATTGGCGTGGCAGGATTCGTGCTCAACGACAAAAGAGAGGTTTTTATCAACAGCAATTTTTCATCTTGCCTTTTTATCTATTTGTTCCATTTCATAACCCTTCTTTTTGTACTGCGAATTTACAACATTTAGGTCCTTGTGGTGAAAGAAAAATGTCCCTGTAGTTGCTCCGGTGTGTGGAAGTTGCCCACTGGTTATATCAACAAGGTGATACCTCTCATGTTTCAATTAATGGATTAACTGTAGAATCTATTCTACTGTGTCAAATTCTTTTTCCTATTATATTCACAAATGTTTGTAACGAACATGCGCTTTTCTTGATTCATATCAGTCTGAAGATATATTCTCGGGAGCTATAAGAGAAGTGAAAGAAGAAACTGGTGTAAGAACATAACAATTTACAAACTATCATTTTTTCTGAAATGGCTATTATATATTATCTACTTTATTAAATTGTATTCTCTATTTACAGGTTGACACAATTTTCCAGGAAATGGTTGCTTTCCGGTAAAGTTTTCGTCTATCGCCTCAAAACATATTAAATATATATTTAAAATTTTGATTTTAACTCGATCCACTTCTGTGTGCGCGTGCAACTCGATAGACATGCTCACCTTGTAGCTTTTGAGAAGTCAGACATACTCTTCGTGTGCATGCTGAAGCCATTGTCCTCTGAAATCACCATTGATGAGAAGGAGCTTCAAGCTGCCAAGGTAATTGAGGTTCAACTTCACATTTGCTTTCTCTATTTATATTGTGGTGATCTCTTCTTTCTGTAGCTGAAATCTTTGTCTTCAGTGGATGCCACTTGATGAATTGCTGGAGCAGCCATTTTATCTGGAAGACCACATGTCAAGAAAGGTCATCGACATTTGCATTAAGGCGTATGAAGATCAGTACAGTGGATTCATTGCTCGTCAGTTAAACTCCAAATTAGATGGAAAATTATCATACTTGTATTACAATGAATTGAAAAATATTTCGAGTATAGTTATGTAAGTTGTAGTAATCTGTTCCAAAATGAAATGAGAATAATACTACTTTGGGTTTGGGATGCCAACGATAAAGTTAGGCCATTTGATTGATGTCTATGCAAATTTCGTGACTAACCTTAGTGAGATTGGACACTCTACTTAGTGACTAGCTTGGTTGGTGTAGTGGGCTGGCCCGTAGTACGGATCTTAATGTAAACTCAATTGGAATTGGGCTATAACCTTCGGTTATGTAATAGATATTTTGTATTTGGGCTTTATAAAATGATAAGACTCAATAATTTGGTGCCAACGATAAAATTTAGGCCATTTGAGTGATGTCTGATGCAAATTTCGTGAACTTGTCCCATAAAAAAATTATCCAATCCACCTGCATCTATCATATAAAGTTTTGGAATGGATTGCATTGGAGTGACGGGTTACTTATTATAATCATTTTATAATACGAATAATAATTTATTATCTATATTAATAATTTAATAAAAAGTAAAAGTCTGCTGCTAGAATATACGTATTCTTATAACTCTGACTGAAAATGGAAGTCTAACATAGCTTGAGGAGAATGTCAAAGTTCCACCAACCCAAACTTTAATTGCCTCCTGTGTTAAACATTTTTTATTTTTTAAATGAAGACCGACATAGTTTAGATCTAGAGGTAAAGAACATTTCGTGTAAATGGTATTTGCCCAACATCTTCAGCAATGGACAATGTCAATGGTGACTGGTAATGGCAACAGTGTTGGTTGGACAATGACTTTTCCTTTCTGAATTTCATATTATATTATTATCTAATAAATTAAATATTATTTTTTTATAATAATTTAAAAGGTAAATGGATTAATGAATTTACCAAAATTAATACAATTCAACCCAACTAAATTGGGACGGAAAAGAACCTAAGCCTATGATGTTCCTAAATTATCAAACATAACATAACCATTTAAAACCATTCCTTTTTTTAAGGATAACAGAATGGTCTAGACTCGTTATGTAAATACAATAATGTTTGTTTGTCTAGAAAGACACGTGTCTAACATCCAATGAAGCTGAAAAAAGGTGGGCCATTTATTTACTTGAAGACGGGAGACATTATCAAGTTTTCCAGAAACCAAAATAAAAATCTCTTTTTATGTGTGATCTGAATTCAATCACAAATTATACATTGAGCTTTACGTTCTTGATGAAACTTATTTTGTTGAGGAGAAAAGTCAGATGAAGATCCATCTCAGACTACTGGAGAAAAACTTTTGACATATTTTAGTTGAACACGTCATGTAGTCCATGTGACACACTGGTTTATTGTTTGCCAATCTGGATGGTTTGGGAAGCGACTTCACGCATGCTTATGTTTATGTCCTCAACCATCCACCACCAATTAAACTCTCCCATATAAAATTAAAAAATTTATATAACCTGGCACTGAGTGGATCATCACAAATATAAAAAGCTCTTTTTTTTATTAGGATTAATTTTTTGTCAAAAAATATTCAATAATATATTTACAGTTTTCAAAGGAATATACCCCAATCCAAACAAAATAAATAAATAATAAAATGATTTATCACTAACCACCAATCAGAGTGCAATTGTTTTTTTGCCTAATTATTTGAATCTTTACAACTCAGATTTACAATAATAGCCCCTTAATTCACTAGTTCATTATTTACAGTTTTGACCTTTAGCACCTTATATTTAATTATTTACTGGTTTTCGGGAGTCTGGATTGTACTTCAGTACCCGTGAAGCTTTTTGCGGTGCTAATTTTACGAAGAAATATATAAGAGGACATATAAAAATAAACTTTGCTCTTGATTTTTATGATTTTTTTGGCTCTTTCTTTATTCATTTTTTTTTTTGTCTTTTTCTTGGATGATATTATTTTATAGTCTTTTTTGTATAACTATTTATAAAGATAGCATTTTTTTTTTGCTAAAACCTTCTATAAGTTTCAACACATTTAATATGCGAATCTTTTGCATTTAATGGTAATTTTTAATTAAAATGTTATTTAAATGGAAAATGTTAAAAATGTGTATTAAAAAAACTAATAATTAACAAAGAAATTAATATAAAATAATTTAAACAAATTTTATAGAAGATTTGTGCAGAGACTATGTGACACAAAATGAATGAAAAAACTATGTGACACCAAATGAATAGAAGATTGAATAAAAAAAGTTAAATTCATTATATTCACTCTTTTATTTATTTTTTGTCATATTAATTTTGTACACAAATATTTTTAATATTTATTTTTACGTTTAACCTTACTCCTAATCAATAATGGAAGGAATCAATTTAACCTAATAATGAAAGTATTTTTTGAAATATTAAATAATATAATTTAAAGATTTTAGTATTTAAATCATGTTACAGCATTGTTTTTGCCTGAATGAAGAGAATCCAATGAATAATTACGTACCACCCAAGACACTATCTGAATCCGGATCCGGAGGAGCCACCATTAACGAAACAAAACGCTAAAAAATCAACGGTATATAAAAATCTATTTCTAGAAGATATATTAATTTCCAACAAAAAAAAGACATCCTCTTTTCTCTAACCAATTTCACGCCACTTTCGTCTCCCTCACTGTGCTACAACCTTTTTTTCTTTTACTTATAGTATTACTTTTCTCATATTCGTCAAAAACCACTACACAAGCTGGAATAACAGCACGCCGCCTGTTTCGTTTCTTACAGTAACATATACATATATATATAAAGCCGTGCAGAAAACCAGCAACGAACAACCAAACTTGTACGTACTTAGATGGTTTTCAGTTTGGTCAAACACAGCGTCTGTGTTGCATAGTTTCCTATAAATATGGATTCATCTGTCTCTTTCACTTGTAACACGTTTTCCTCTGTTATTGAATGGATTCAGTTAATGTTTCGTCCACTTCGTCTTCTTCTCTGAAATCGCGTTTCTTGGAACCTTCAAATTCTGGGATTTCGAGTATTAAACAGTTTTCGTCGGTGAGTTTTAGTTCAAGTTCAAGTTCGCGTTCCAGTTTTAGTAGCGGATCTCCAAGGAAAGATACTTTGATGGCGTCATCTACCGAGAACTTCAAACCGAAGATCGTCAATGGCCCCGCTGGTTATGTTCTTCAAGATGTTCCTCATTTATCTGATTATATTCCTGATCTTCCTGTAAGCCTTCTAATTTCTCTCTCTTTATTTCTTCTTTGTTTCTGTTAATTCTGTTACGAGTTCTGATTTCTTGCAGAGAAGCTGTTTTTACTTTTTAAATTATAAATGCACTTTATTGTGAAGTGTTTAAACTTTCTGATTTGCCACAAAATTGCTTCTAACATTGTGGTCAAGTTATTGCATTTCTTTCCTTTCCATTTTTTTTTTTCACTTGGCCTTAATTCTCAACTTTCTTGATCTTTAATCATATTGCCTTTTTTTTTTTTTTTTTAAATTTCTTGTGCAGACATATTGCAATCCACTGCAAGACAATCCCGCGTACTCGGTTGTTAAGTAAGTTGATGATTCCCATCACTTATATACTCTATAGATATTTTTCTTTTTGCTGTTTTTGGGAGTTGTATAATTTCTCAGGACTGTCGGTAACTGGATCAATTGTTCATTTTGCCAGGCAGTATTTTGTTCATGTGGATGATACCGTTCCACAAAAGGTCAGACTTCTTGTCTCTTGACTTCTTTTTTATTTATTTATTTTTTTAAATTTTAATCTTTATGTATATGTAAGGGATTTCTTCATACTAATTGCTTAGATAGTGGGATTTTGTCTTAGTTAGCTGTCATGTGAGTTCAGCGGTTTATTATTGAGAGTGAAAAGGGACTACCTGTTAATGCTAACGTAATTTGGACTTAGGGACAGATCTTGAAATAGTATTCTTACTGGCTGGTTCTTTCCAGAAACTCTGGACTCACATTGCAAAAGCTTAACATGGTTTCTCTTTTATCCATATGTGTGAGATTGAAAGATAGTTGTTTTTTTTTTCTCTGAGGAAGGCTGGAGTCAGTAGGGTGTATGTGCTTTAAGAGAAGAGACTGAAAGACCAAAACCAAAACGTTTTAAACTTAGATGTGATTATACTTTCCTTCTTTTGCAGATTGTTGTTCACAAGAATTCTCCTAGAGGAATTCACTTCCGACGAGCTGGACCTCGTCAAAAGGTATATATGTGCTTGTGACTTGTGGGGTGAGATCTGAAACTGAAATGATCAAGGACCAGCTCTGAATTTGAATATTATTTTGGATGGTTGGTGTTTCTCAGGTGTATTTTGAGTCCGATGAAGTTCATGCTTGTATTGTGACCTGTGGTGGTCTATGCCCTGGACTAAACACGGTGATTAGAGAGATAGTGTGCGGCCTCTACCATATGTACGGAGTGAAGAAAGTGCTGGGAATAGATGTAAGTGACTAAATATCCATATCTCCTCACTTTTTATAGTGGGACTGCCTGATTATTTTTGTGATTGTACCCGTGCTATGATTCTTGTTAATGTTGAACTGCATATATGGTGAACATGTACAGCTATTTACAGTTGAACTTGCACAAGGAAATGTGTTGGTGTACCTGTTGCCTATATACTGATATAGTTCCCCTGTTTTAGAAGGCATGGCAAAGTTATTTTCTTCATATCAACCGGAAGTTCTAAACTTTAGGTGTTTTTGTTAGGATCCCACATCGGGATCTCACATCCACCAAGTGTGGTACTTAAGCCTAGAGGTTCTCCCACCTATCAGGCCAGTCTTTTGGGTTGGACTCTTCCTTGATCTTGAATTCTAACATTGGTGTTTTTCATTGAGAGTTGGGCTGTGGAAAAGGCTACCTATAGTCTAGATTAAGGTGCAATGTGCATCGAATGATTAATAGGTGAGTGATAGCTGCCCAAAGGGGGGAAGGGTTACCGTCGGGTCAGTGTCGATAAAGTGAAAGTCAACGTGGATGTCGGCTCTTGAAGGGGGGTGCAATGTTAGGATCCCACATTGGGAGCTCATACCCACCAAGTGTGGTACTTAAGCCTAGAGGCTCTCCCTCCTATTAGACTAGTCTTTTGGGTTGGGCTCTTCCTTGGGCTTGAGTTCTAACAGTTTTCTCCCTTTTATTGTTTGTAAAAAAACAATTTTTTGCTATGCTGAATCGGGGTTGATATTTAAAAAAAAGTTACCTTTTACTGCCATTGTATATTTGTTAGTTAAAAGTGGTTTTTTAATTATGTATAATTTGGTCTTATTGTCAACTGATGAAGTAAGGGATTCTGTAGGGAGGATATAGAGGCTTCTATGCTAAGAACACAATTCCTTTAACACCCAAGGTCGTGAATGACATCCATAAACGCGGTGGAACTGTTCTTGGTACTTCACGAGGTGGCCATGATACCGCCAAGATAGTTGACAGCATTCAGGATCGAGGAATCAATCAGGTATGTCGGGAAGTTTTAATTCATCTTCTAAGTTGCTCTTCACTGAAGATTTCTATGCATTTATTATAACCTAGATACACCTATGCAAAAAATGGATTCTGATCTTTTGTTATTTGGCAACTCAGGTTTACATAATTGGAGGAGATGGTACCCTGAAAGGAGCATCTGTTATATATGAGGTAGTCTTCATTCTGTAAAATATTAATTGTTTAGAAGTTGATGTATATAAACTCATCAGTTTCTTGCTATTTTTCTTTAGGGTCTTGCTGGCTGTGACATTTTCTTTCCCTTTTTAATTTTTTAATTTTTTATGAAAGCATTAATTTTATCACTGAATCCTTGGAATTTACTGCAATCTATGTATATATTTAAATAAAATTACCTATTCTCTTCATTCAGGAAGTTAGAAAACGTGGTCTCAAAGTTGCGGTTGTTGGAATCCCCAAAACCATTGATAACGACATTCCGGTACCCTTCTTGCCTTTTCCAACTGCTGGAGTGTTGCTGAGTTAAATATGACACCTCATACTCAAATTGTGTACAACTGTTCATTATGTGACAGGTTATTGACAGGTCCTTTGGCTTTGACACTGCTGTTGAGGAGGCTCAACGTGCTATTAATGCAGCACATGTTGAAGCAGAAAGTATTGAAAATGGTATAGGAGTTGTGAAGTTGATGGGTCGCTATAGTGGTAAGCTCCTGTTTTGTCAGAAACCTTAATCAATATATGAATCGGAATGTATGTATTTGGTTGACTAGAAATTACAGGATAGAAATTTTTTAACTTTTGCTTCTTAAGATTGGTCATGCTTACAATTCTAACATTAGCTATCTGGATTACAATATCTTTCTATTGCATTGACCCATGGCTGTTAGCAATATAGAAATCCAAATTTAAATGGCTGGACATTGTAAGTCCTATATAAATGTGGCGTTTCTATCGCAATGTCATTTTCCCATCTTTATTTATCGTTGATCTTGTTAATATTTCATTGTGGCGGACTGTTTGCCTCTTGATGAGTTTTTGTCTGTGCAAATAACTTATAAGCAAATGACTAGTCATTTCAATTGGTTAGTTATGATTTAGACTGATTAAAACTATTTTGTGGTTATGGGAGACTTTCAAAAAATTTCCCCTTTATACTAACTTTTTGTGGTTCATTTCTTAATTGAACGCAAATTTTTAATTGTTTAACACTCTTAATCTAAACTTAATGAATGGTGCAGGGTTTATTGCAATGTATGCTACTCTTGCAAGCCGTGATGTCGAATGTTGCCTAATTCCTGAGTCACCCTTTTATCTTGAAGGGGAGGGTGGACTTTTTGAATATATTGAGAAACGAGTAAAAGAAGACGGACATATGGTTATTGTGATAGCGGAAGGTGCTGGACAGGACTTGGTTTCTGAGAGCACGAGTTCAATGTCCCAGCAGGATGCTTCAGGAAACAAAGCCCTCCAAGATGTTGGGCTGTGGATATCACAGAAAATTAAGGTATCTATCATTTCTCTTTCCTTGCTCTGCAGTCTTTTTTCTTTTGACAGTATCAACTTAGAAGCCCTCTAAACTAACTTTTGTTTGTCAATTTATTTAATATGAAATAGTTGCAGATAATTTAATTGGTCAAATTCTGGTGTTTTGCAGGATCATTTTTCAAAGCAGAAAAAGATGGTCATAAACCTTAAATATATTGGTTGGTACTTGTTAATTTTCGTGCTCTTATATTTGATTCAATAGGATTGTCATTTCCTGGTATGTTAAAGCATTATACTTGGGCTGTCTGGCAGATCCTACTTACATGATTCGTGCTATTCGAAGCAATGCATCTGATAATGTGTACTGCACACTTCTTGCTCAAAGTGCTGTACATGGAGCCATGGCAGGGTACACTGGCTATACAAGCGGGCTCGTCAATGGCAGACAAACTTATATACCCTTCTATGTGAGTTCACCGGATAATCATTCACATTTGTTGGATTTGACAATTTTCAAAGTTTCTATATATGTGATGTTATGGGAGTAAAAGTTTTTTTAATTTTTGAACTTCTGATATGCAGCGAATCAATGAAAAACAGAATAAGGTTGTGATTACTGATAGGATGTGGGCAAGGCTGCTGTCTTCAACAAATCAGCCAAGCTTTTTGAGTCTGAAAGATGTGATTGAGGACAAGAAAGAGGAAGTGCCACAAACTCAATTGTTGGAGGATGACATTAGTTGTGATGAGAATTTGGAGGTGAACAAAGAGATTAGCTACAGTATGTGATTTGAATGAGATTGGTACTACAAAGCTTCGTATATTAATCAAACAACTGTTTGGGCTGCGGTTAGGATAGGCAGCTCCCTTGACGTTTCTCATGTAATGCGTGAAGAAGGGAAGTCAAATATTTGTATGAACTATGAAATATGATTAATTATTAGAATATGCAGCTCCCTTGAAGTTTCTCATGTAGTGGGCGAAGAAGGGAAGTCAAATATTTGTATGAACTATGAAATATGATTATAAGAATATCCTCAACTATTTACTATTTAGTATTGGATCAAGATTCTCTCTACTTGATCCAATTATGCAAGGTGTATAATTGTTATATTCTTCAAACATAGTGATCGTGTTTTGTTGGAGATTATATGATTTAAGATAAAATTCCAAAAGCAAATTTAATTAAAAATGAAGATGGGTGTGATTTATGTATTACATGTTTCAGTCAAGACCAAATCACCAAATGTGAAAATTTGCCAAGGAGGTTGTTTGCTATTTCATCCATTGGAGCAAAGGAATTTTTTTCTTTTATCATCCCCAAATAAAATAAAAAATTAAAGTGAATTCATTCAATTATTTATATTGGGGATGATCGGTTTAGGGTATTTTGAATTTTTTGAAGGAATCATAACCGATTGGTTCCTAAGATTTGGAATCGGAATCGGTTGGTTTCGATTCCTAGAAACCTAGAATCAGAATTGAAACATAAGTTTCGGTTCCTGGTACTCGAGTTATTTTTACCCCCGTACTACTTATAAAAAATGCAAATACACCTTAGAAAAGTACAAATACACCCCTAATAGTTTACAAAAATTATATTTAGTCCCGATTCTTACTTGGGTACCAAGGCCTCGGTTTCGGTTCTAGTTTTCGGTTTCAGCACTATAGAATCCAGAAGCAGACCTAAGAATTCCTGATTCCAATTTTCTAGAATCGGAATCGGACCCTTTTTTGTTTTGATTCTACCCTTTACTCATGCTCACCCCTAATTTATCCTTCCCAAATAAAATCTCAAATTTCTCACTTGAGGGGAGAAATTCGGGACATCATCAATAATATTAGTAGTCTGAGTCTTTTTACTTCAAAATTTTAATATTATTAATTAAATTTTTTATTTAAAAAGAAGAAAAGGTCTACGGACTACGGTTACCAACTTAACGAATGGCAAAAAGAGTAAATTTGGTTTCCTATTGGGAAAAATAAACTAAACACGGCTTCAAGGTCTGAGGTTTAGTATCAGAACCAGAAGTTGAGTAGATCAAGAAAGAAGATGGGGATCAGATTCATATTGATGGTCAACAAACAAGGCCAGACCCGTCTCGCCCAATACTACGAATGGCTCACCCTCGAAGAACGACGCGCTCTTGAGGGGGAAATTGTTCGCAAATGTCTCGCTCGCACCGAGCAACAGGTTCAGATCCTCACAATTCTAATCCAATCGCCCTTTATCTTTTTTTTTTTTTTTTTTTTTTTTTTTATTACTCTCCAATTCATAATTCTAAATATATAAACCATTTTGAATTGCTACTTGCAGATTTCATTATTAAGGCTTCTTTCTAGCTAATTTATAACTGTTTTATATTTTTGTATGTGAGAACAGTGTTCTTTTGTCGAGCATCGCAACTATAAAATCGTGTACAGGCGCTATGCATCGCTGTTTTTCTTAGTCGGAGTTGACAATGATGAAGTAAGTTTAACGCTTTATTCACCTGTTTTAGGAACGGTGCACTTGTACCTTTTTAAGATAATTGTGGCATCAAATATATGGAATTAATTTGAAAAAAATGGTAGGTTTTGAATTAAAAGTATTTTGAAAACCATTTTCCTTTGGGTGACATAGCTTACACATTCTAATTCACTCGCCTGCATCTGGCTGGTGCATTTATTTGTATGATATCAAAGCTTTCTTGCATTACATTGTCTTTGGTTTTAGTTTTTCCAAATTTATTGAAAGAGAGATTATTTCTATTTGGAGATGATATCTTCAGCGTGTAGTTTCAATTAATATTTTGTGAATTACTTTGTTTTAATATCAAGTAATACTATTAAACCAAATTGAGATGGCAATTCAATTGTTATGACTTGTGAATATGTTTGAAGGTGCCTGATTGTCATCTACGGAGTTTTTTATTCTTTTTAGAAAGTCCAGTTATGCGACTTGTATCTATCATGTCAGTGACTAACTTATATATCAGATTAGAGTCTAAATGGTTCATTATTTGTTCCCCATTTTGATCCCCTCAAACGATCTTAGTGTCGGATTAATGATTAACAAGGAAAAAAGAAATCCTGGTTCCTATCATAATTGTTTCATTATCGCTCATCCATATGTTAGTATAATTCAATCTCTATCTTAGTTGGATATAAGTCTTCAGATAAGAAGATAGGATGTATAGCATTACTCTAAAAAATTTGCTACAGATCTCTGTTACAGATAGTCTTGTCCAGTAAAAGAATTTATGAAAGGAGAAAATATTAACTAACAAAAGTACTAGTACTGAATTTTTTGCTGAAAACTGAGGGTCTGTGTCATGTACAAAATGATAAGAATGATCAATGAAGATTGATGATATTAGCTCAATTTGTCATTATTTTAGGAAATAGGTGGGTTTTATTCAAAATAAAAATAAAAAGAATGTTTGAAGATGTTTATGTTATGTATGAATTTAATTGAAGCTTAGTGCTTATCTGATTTTGTTGATCTCTCACTTGTCTGGTGACCACCACTCACCACCAAACATTTCTTTCTCTACGTTTCATTATCCTTTTTTTTCTTCTTTAATTATTATTTTAAAATTTTACCTTCCATGTTGCAGAATGAGCTAGCAATTTTGGAATTCATACACTTGTTAGTAGAAACCATGGATCGTCATTTTGGCAATGTGGTAAGATCTCTCATGAGATGAATTTAAATTTATGACTTAAGTTACCATGCTTGTCGATTTGGTTTTCATCGATGTATATGCTATTTACAATTTTAGAAAAAGTTGATTTCATTCAAATTTTCTGTATGGTTATAATTATGCAGTGTGAGTTAGACATCATGTTCCATTTAGAGAAAGCACATTTCATGCTGGAAGAAATGGTAATGAACGGATGTATTGTAGAGACAAGCAAGTCAAACATTCTGTCACCAATACAGCTGATGGACAAATCATCCTGAATAGTTTTGTGCAGTTGGTTTTTGTACGAGTTTCATGATGTTTTTGCGGCTTGTTTATGTTTTCTATTGTACAATAAAGTTTAAACAATATCAGATCTTTCATAAGTTAACATTCATTAGTTGATTGTTTGATTCATTATTGATTAAGTTGATGGATAATAAACAATCAGCTAAATACTTTAGTTTGAAGAATCTTCTTTAAGATGTACTTCAACAATTATAATCTGATTAATGCAAGTGTTGAGCTATCCTAACAACGAGCTCTGCCCAGTCTCCATCTGAAAACAAGTATATACATCTAGGCTGCTGGCCTCATTTCTTGCTTTACATCTTTTCTTCAAGATTGATTAGATTCACAGATTACTGCCAATCACATAATTCTTGTTCAAACTATATATGGTAGTTGGTACAGTTAAGATTAGCAGATTTACTGATGCCTATATGCTACTGAAGTCAAAAACCATGAAGCAGACCCTTGTAATCTCAATTCTTAATTGCAGGTAGAGGCCCCAAAATAATATGGCTAAAAAAGAATGTGTAAGCATCTAAATGTATTTCCAACCAAGGCTTGAACGAGGCCACAATTCATTAATTTATTGAACAATAATCTGAAAATGTTTGATCATACAATTTCCTTGGTGGTTGAGGAGATGTTCCAATAGAAGTAGCCCCAATTGACATAAACGCACGAAATATCAAAGCCTCTACATAACAATAACTATACAGCAAAGCTTGTGAGCAAAGCCAGCTAATTGCTTTTTTCCTTTTGCTATGTGTTTCTACCTGAACATAAATACCAAATCAAATGGCTGCTGGCCTCCCATTCTTTCTAGGGTCGCTCACTGCTGTGAGTGTTCCATGGAATATTAGAGCATTATTAATATCTTTTCCAATTTTTCTGCCTATCTTGATGGGGTTTTGCAGGTTTTGAACAACAAACTGAACAATAGCTCCCCCTGCTTTAGCCTCCAGTTGGTGACCCCTCTCTTCCAAGAAAAGCTTTCTTTCGTCAGTGAGCTCAATGTGATCGCCATCAATTACAGTCCAGTTTTCATACAAAACCATATTTGGTATTAGCTGCAGAAAAGTAAGGTAAAATCAGGAGCTGTTTCTGAAATTTGTTAGATGATACATGTTAATAGGAAGCAGTTATGAACCTTGTGGTAGACCCTTGGATTCTGGACAGCAGCTAAAGGTTCCATCCCCAAGATAAAATGGTTGAGAAAAACTTGGGTTACTGCTGGAATAATGTTCATTCCACCACTTCCTCCAATAACCCCAGCCAGCTGATTATCCTGCCATGGAAGGACATAAAAGTGACGTTTATTTCAAAACAAGACTTCAAAGAAAATAGAGCAATTGAATTTCTTAACTACTTCTCTATTAAGGAGCACAATTCTAGTTTATAGAGTAGCATGTAAAGTCAAGATCACTTCTACCTTTTCTGAGAGTAAAGATCTGAGTAATAAGAAATATGAACTGGGTGACATAAGTGTACCTTAGTAACGATTACAGGCGTCATAGAAGACAACGGTCTCTTGTTTGATTTAATAAAATTTGCTGGAGCAGGTGGTAGCTTATCAGGGGATATCTCTGAGGGTATTGAGAAGTCACCCATCTCATTATTGAACACAATGCCAGTAGAAGGAGAGAGTATCCCTGCTCCAAAAGGATAATTCACTGTTGTTGTCATAGACACAGCATTTCGATCAGCATCTACAATACAGAAATGGCTTGTTCCATGATCTCTAAGCTGACTCCACCTGCCCATTGAGGACTCAAACAATTCACACTCATGAATTCATGACAACACCACCGAAAGTTATGCTAGCAAACCTTAGATTTTTGCAGTTATCATACCTGTACATATAGTAGTCAGGAGAGAAAGTGGTGTTATCAAAAATTTTTTGCTGAATTTGCTTGGCATAAGATGGTGAAAGCATTTCAGACACAGATTCGTTTACGTCAACAAAATTAGGGTCACCTAAGTTCATTCGAGCAGCAAACATGTGTTTAAGCGCTTCAATTAATCTATGTAGACCAAGATTACCTTTTGCAGCATCTGAACTTCCATAGCTATCAAAGATGTTTAAAACCTGTTTCCAATCAATATTTAGAGCAATCACATCCACATACTTTCACAATTATGAAAAGAAATAATATACAGTGTCCAGGAAACGCAGGGAAAGGAAAAAATTTTACCCACCATGGACATCCCAACTGTTCCACTCGATGGAGGTGGCATTCCATATACAGTGTAGCCCATCACATTTGCAGACATTGCATCCACTACATCGACCTTGTAATTCCTTAAATCCTCCATTGTTAAAATCCCACCAGCCTCTCTCACATCTTTCACTAACTTCTCACCAACAATTCCATTATAGAAGGCTCGTGGTCCTTGTTCTGCCACTGCCTCTAGGCTTTGAGATAGCTTAACATTGTAGCAAGTATCACCTGCTTGTAACAACTTCCCATTTGGTGCAAACACTTTCCTTAAGCCTCGGTCATTCATGATCATTTCTGCATTATTAGCTATGTGTAATCCAAGATATGAAGCAACTACAAAACCATCTTTGGCAAGTTTTATGGCAGGTCGGAATAGAGTGCTCCAAGCCAAACGCCCATGTTTCAACCAAGCTTCATGAAGGCCAGCTATCTCACCTGGAACTCCCATAGATAGTGCACCAAAATACTTGGCTTTGGGATTGTTTTCATACATATTCTGTTTGTTGACAGTAACAATGTTAACAACCAAAAAAACAACTTGAACTAGTATATATTTGCAGAAAGAGAGAATTATGAACCTGCGAAGCAGCAAGAGGGGCGGTTTCTCTCATGTCAAAAGCTTGAGTTTGGGAGGTCGATGAAGAAAGAACAATCATAAATCCCCCGCCTCCTATTCCACTTGCCATTGGATTAACAACACCAAGGCAGAATGCAGTGGCGACAGCAGCATCAACGGCATGCCCTCCGTGTCTAAGCATTGAAGCACCAATTTCAGAACAACGAGCATCATCAGCTGCAACAACACCTTGCTCTGACTCAACGATATCAGCATTATTAAATTCAATCCTTCCATTGTACTTGTTTTCTTCTCTCAGTAACCAACAGCTTAAGTCATCTTTGAATATGAGGCCTACAACTGAAATGCAAACAATATGTTCAGCAATGAATTGATTACAATGACTAACTAAGAATAAAAATTGTAAGCAAATAAGCAAACCTAGCTTCAATTCTAGCTTCACTATGACATGATTAAGATCTAAACAAAATTTAATCTTCAACCACCCAACCTGGAGCTTAAGCTCATAAGATAAGGTAAAAAAAGACATTCCTTCATCTTCATGAAGATAAAAATAGAATTTGGATGGTATTTAATCAGATTCACATGTCAATTGATGATATGGCTAGTTAAGACCATCAATTTGGGATTTCTTCTAAGAGATAATCTAAGGTGTCTTTACCAAACAAAGTTGATCGGCAAGAAAAAAAGAAAAAAGAAGAAGAAGAAAGACAATGAATGAATAGAAAAGAGTTAAAGTTTAGAAATTGATTGTGCATGAAATGAAAAAGTTGGAGAGTGTAGTGATATCCATTCAGCTGGAAAAAGATAGCCACAACCCACGTTAAAATTCACACAAATCTGAAACCATAATCTTAGGATTAATATCTTAACTAACAAAAACTAAAAATATTACGAAATGCATTCCTACTGCATAAATGTTTCCCAAACTCATTTAGTTTGCTAAAAAAATCAATCCATCCAAAAAGCCCAGAAGAGAGAAACTAAAGAATTAACAGTTTTGACTTTAAAAAGAGATGGGTGAAGAAGAGAACTAACATGATATGGTTAATAATAGACAAAGCAGCCACAGAATTCTGGTCCAGCCCTTGTTCTTATTAGTCGTAGAAGAGGGATAATTACTGGGCAGAAGTGGAGCATCCATTTTTCACAGTTAGAAGAGAAGAAGAAGCAGAGGTGTTAGTTGTAAATGGTGGAGGTTGAAGAGTTGGTGATTGTCGTTGTTCCTTACAAGTTGTATATTTGAATATTTTAATCCTGTATATTGTGTCAGCAATGGAATCAGCCTTCAACTCAAATTCAATCCAGAGTTGGTGCAGTTCTTCTGAAATGATGTTCTCTCGTGGACCCAAATCCCAATCAAGTTTTGCCACCATCAAATTGCATTTGTCGAATAGGAATCTCCATGACGACTTCGTTTTGACAACTTTAAAGCAGAATAAAAATTATAAACTAGTGCAAATATCCATCACATGGGTAATTGGATTCTTCTCTTTCCTTTTTATTTTATTTATTCTTTTAAGGGGAATCTCCATAAAGGTGTGGGAGTGAGGGATATTTTCACATTAAAAATAAAAATGTGTTAAATAAAAAATAATTTTTATTTTTATCCAAATAAAAAGGGGTAAATAGTCAAACAGTGAAAAGAATAAAAATAAGTAATGAAAATGAGTAGCGTTGATTTTAGAGGGATGAGAATTCAGATATTGAAAAGGAAAAATATTTATTGGATACGCAATTAAATTAACGTTGGCAATGACGTCAATTTTCAATCTATGAGATTCACGGACTCAGATTGAATAATTACAAATATATCTTAATAAGACAAAAATTCATCATTATTATTATTAATAATAGAGTAAACGACTTGTTCCCACCCAAATTTTTATCGAAATCCCAAGTTTTTACCTGTTTCATTTATTTAGATACCCACCCTTCAAACAACGCCGTTAATTAATTTTAGTTCTAACCTAGATGTAGAAGATGTTATTACCATCCTACCCTTAAAAAATAAATTAATAAATTATTTTGTAACCCTCTCATTAGTAGAATTAGAAAATAATTATCTTACTTTCAAATTTATTTTAATGACACCCTCTTCTTTACTTCACATCATCCCCATCTCCGACCACCCAGCCACAGCCACTACCACCACCACCGCCACCCAGCCATTGCCATCACTGCCACCCAGCCACTATCACCACCTAGCCTTTTTTTTTTAAAAAAAATCTACCCTTTTTTATTTATAAAAAAATTAAAATAAATGAAAAACAAAAATCAACAAAATCTACCAACGTTGTCAACCAACAAACCGCCGTCGACATTAACACAGAAAATGGGGGGCTGCCTGCTGCTGTGCGCAAAGGCAGGCACAAAACAGGCGCGTCTTGGAAGGGCTCGCTAGCGCGCGTTGGCTGTGGCGTGCGTTTGGTGAAGTGGGTGTCTGGGTTGGTTGAGGCAAAACAGAAAACAGGTGGTGAGCAGGTGAAGTTAGGAGAGTGATCAGCGGTGGTTGGTTGGGTTCTTCGACCAGAATCAAAGCAAAAACACTCCAAATAATCAATCAACCAATACCCAAGCTTCAATTTCATCAAAAATCCAACCTTCAACAACAAATTTCAACAAAACGCAAAAACCCTAGGTTGAGTGGCGGACGATGAACAGTGGCTGCCGTGGTCGGAGAGGATGGGGGGTTTTGTAGGGAAGAAGCCGATAAGTTGGGGGGTGGTGGTGGGAGGGGTTTTGGCCGCCCAAATCGGCCGAAATCCGGCAAAGAACGGTTGCATGACGCCGTTGCTGTGGCCGGAGAACAGCGTGTGCAGTGCGGGGTAAAAGGGTGGGGTTTTGATGGTGGGACGCCAGGGGTTCTTTTGGTGGTGACGGGGAACACCAACAATGCCAGATTCCAGCCAAATCCGACCTAAGACGGGAATGCTCGCGGCTGGGAAAATTCGCGAAAAAGGGCCAAATCCGGCCAAAAATACGATCGATGAGGCAAGAAGGCTATGCAATCAGGCTTGGGGTGATGAATTCTGTCGGTTTTGGCAAAGAATCCAGCTGGATTCAGCTCAAATCGGCCGGCAGTAGGCCGACAGGTGAGCCCAGTGGTGGCTAGTTGAGAGAAAAAATTCAGGGCCATTAGGACAGGAAGTGCAAAATGACAACTTTACCCTTGGACCGTTATTTTAAACATTGTTCTGTTACTTTAAGGATGTGTATCTGGAATAAATGAAACCAAGTATAAACTTGGATATCTCGCTAAACTTTGGGTGGGAACATGTCGTTTGCTCTTATTAATATTTATAACTAAACATGAAATCATTTCATTACCATGACTGAAATTTCTTAGTTGTGACATTAAATAAGTATAAAGATATATTAAGTTTATAAATTTTAGCTTGATTTCACTGATTTATATAATTACCAAAATAATTAAATTCCTCAGACAACTTATTAAAAATTCTTAATAAACTGATATATATAAAGCAAGATAAATAATATAGTTTATTGCATCAATATATCATGGCTTATTACAGCGGCTCCGACTTTCTGCCATTTCAAAGTCTTATGTTTTTTCTGTTAAATTTATAGCAAACCCAAATTGATAAACTATAGTTTGACCGGAATTTTGGACATTCAGCAAACTTGTTTAAATTGATTTTAAATTTGTAGAGTACAATTCAAGATAAAATTGAGTAATTTTGGAAATCATTAAAGAAAATCAATTTGATATATTCAATTTAAACTTAACAACTTGGATGTTTTCTAAAAATAAATACCAAATGAAAAAAATGGAGCTCAAGTCTCAAGAAGAAACCAGAACAGATTGTCAGAAGCAAAGTATGAGCATTACAATTATTTACAAAAGAACCTGACCAACTTTTAGAAGGAATGAGCCAAGCCACAGCCACAAATTACAAAGGAAAATCACATTATTGAATGCTGTGTTTCTGACTATATCTACACTAATCACTATACTCTCAAAACACAAGCAAACTATGAAGGAGAATCATAAGAATGAGACAAACACTATCTATTTTTGACCTCTAATCTATTCACTGAATGCGAATGCCTTTCATGACTGCCAGAACAAATCAGGATCATTGCTATAAAGTGAGTAATCTTGTATTTCTTGATTAGCCACATGGTAATCTATCAGTCTGGCTTGAATTATTTTACACAACACCAGTCCACAAGGAAGCATCCACCATTCACTTTCATCCCTGCACCCATCATTTTTTACAGATTTCAGTAATTATACAAACTGCACCTACCACCACACCCCAATCAAACATACTTACATGCTAAAATTCCAGGATTGAAAGCTTGTATGTTTTTTACTTGAGTGGGCTCTATAATGAACAAGTCCACATATGAACGCAGTTACCTGTCAACAGAAACAAATATGATTAAGAATATCACAATAAGAAACATTCAGTGTTCCTTTAAAATGTATTAGAGGAAAATGAAACAATAAATTGACAGAATAATCACAAAAATCTAAGCTACGTAATGCAGTAATGCAGATCGGACTTATCAAATAAGTCCAGGAAGCAGCTTCCTGGGTTCATCCACATTACGTTTGTTTGGAGTAGAAAGGCTTAAAATCCAGCACAATTATCTCTAAATTTCAAAAACTATAAAAAGCAAAACTGGAATACAACTTGCAACTTGCAGCAGAAAACCCTCTATTTATCACATAATACAGTCCTTAAATAAGAATGCCAATACAACCATCTAAAGCTACAATTGCATACGACCATCAGAGTTAACGAAATAATCTCTTCGAATGTCATACCACTTTTCCAAAGAATCAAATGCTTCACACATTTTTGTTACCATATTACCTCACTGGCACACAGATCAAATCTCACAACAAGGACTGATATCAAGCAATTTATTCTAGAAACAAACACATGTTTCATTCTTGAAATATACTAGTGTTTCAAGAAGAATGAATAAATTGTTTAAATTAGTTTAGTTGATGGAAGTGTGAATCAGAATATAAAAAATTTTCAAGCTTCAAATTATTTTAAAAAAGGGGCTTGAATAATCTTACAACATTGATCAAGGATGTCACATTCCACAGAGCATATACACGGGCCAGGCCTGCAGACCGTCTGGGTCCATGACTGAACAAAGCATTAATTCCAGCAGGGAATGGAAACAGTAGACCAAGAGGAAGGATAAACAAAACTAAAAAAAAGTTGAGCAGTGATATGGAATACATCTGCAGCAAAGTAAGCAAAACTAAGCTAAAATCGGCAAGAAGAAGTATTGAGATAAGTAAACCAACAAGATCCTGCAATATTGACAAAAAAAGAGAAGTTAAAATTTTATCTTAAGACATTAACCAAATATTGGAAAAAGGAAATAAACAAATCAATGACTATACCGGAATCATTTCCAAAATCCACTACCTGATGACCAACGGGTTTAGAATTATAAACGATAAACGAAAAGGGATAATAGATAGTCCTCTTTGTTTTAAGAGTTCGTAAGCTCTTGGCATGCAAAATTCCTCCAAATATCCTTCTCTGTGTCATTAGATGTTCACCGACTCTCAAATAATCTAGTGTGCCTTCCCTACGAGATCTGTGCAAACTGCATAAAACAGCATAGAGAAAATCAAGTGATTACAAGAGAAAAAAAGTTCAAGTCACATGGTTTAATGGTCACAGGGGGGAGACAGTTGTTACCATGACTGCTGCTCATGTAGCAAAGATCCGTCTTGACCTTCGATAGATTGTGCCAGACTTTCATTTTCAGTGGCACATACCACAAGTCCAAACTGGCAATATCCAGAAGATGTAGGTTGAAACCAGGCAAGATTAACATGTATACCATATGTAATTAAAATAGGATTTGCATGTGTTTCAAGCCAACTGATAACATGACCTAAAGTAATCTTTAAGTGTCCACAGCGAACCAAGCGCAGTTGAGCATTTAGACCAGCCACCAGTCGATACCATATGGTTGGTGGAACAGACTGTAAAATAGTGAGATAAACAATAAACAGGGAACAAAACTTCATTGCACAGAAATGCCATGGAAAAGAAAGGCAACTAAGTACAAGAATTCACAAAAATACAAGAATTCACAAAAAGAACAACCTTATGAACGAACAAATGACATACCTGGCTCATAAGGCTAGTAAGAATGTTATCACTCTGAAGAGAGAAAGAAGCCATGTAGCTTCCATCTCCTCCAAAAATTAGCGACATTGGCAACCTTTGTTGAAGACGAGGTGGAAGATCAGCTCTTTTCTCGTCACCGCCAAGGAAAAAGTCAACATATGCCAGCATTAGATCAGCAGTTGCAGCTACCTGCAGTGTGGCACAGTAAACATGAAAGTTATAGATTCCATTAAAAGTA